TTAAAATTTTATACAATCACCTACTCACTTGAAGTTATAATTATCACATTAAAAGCCTGAATATGTCAGATTGAACACATAGTTGCAACTCACTTGTCAAAGAAAAACAACCATTTTCCCACCTATTGAAAGGCCAATGCCTTTTAATTAATTAAAATCTATGTTAGAAGATAGGGATGATTTAGAAATGAGACAATTATGAAACAGTCTGACAATAAAAGCAAACATATAAAATTTTTTAAAGTAATACTTACTTGTCAACATTATCCCCAAATGCAAAATCTAAAAATAAAATTCTTAATTAGTATTTTTCAAACATTTGGTCAGCAATCAAAAGTAATGAGACACTGTTAGATATCTTTTCAAGCAAACTGACAAAAATATCTAAAATATCACAAAATATATGACTCATATATAATTGGACTTTTCCCTTAGGTAACGCATTTTGCTTTAGGCTTTGGGGCAGTCTTTAATATAAGGCTAATCTCAGAACCCTGAAAATAATATTCTGAATCAGCTTAGCTGCCAATGGAGTCCAGTTAGAATCTTTCATAAACAAGGTTCATACACGGAAAGAAAGAACCCCTTTTTCTTCTGATGAGTATGAGCTTCTGTAAGAGAATACTCAGGAGAAGTATTTAGGGCCATCTCAGCCATCTGGACTCTTGGCATGAACTTCAAAGAAAGAACAAATCCAAGATCACAAGACTCTATGTTCCAAAGCTTTAGCGCTGAAGGGCCAGACCTCAAGCCTGGAGCTCTTGGGGTACCTCCCAGTCTACCAGGGCCTTGTTTACTCCTCTCCAGAAGGCCTGGTACCGCGCCAAAGACAGAACTTTCCTGCACCTGTCGGGGCACTAAAGCCTTCCGCGAACCTTCTTGCCAGTCCGCAAGAGAGGACACAGCCAAGAGCTTGTGGCACCGTGCCTTTCACAAGTGGCTGCCCAAGTCTCCTGGCCTTTCTTGTCTCCCCAGGCTCTTTTCCTCTCTCCCCACAGTGCTATTGGGATATAACTGAAAATTAGCAATTATACACATTGTGGCGTGCTACAAGATGTTTGGGTGTGCGTGCGCACACACATGCAACGTGAAATAGCAGTTACTGTTCACATTGTGCATCTCACACAGGTGTCATTTTCTTTTTGGGTATGTGGATGGTGAGTACGTTTAGGTTCCCCTCTTTCTAGCAGATAGTTAGCCACAGTTACATTAGGTCGTCAGAATGTGGTCATCACGAACAGTCGGGACTCTCTGACTCAGATCTCCTCATCTCTCCCTCTGACCAGCAAACCCACACAGATCTAAGAGTGATCTTCCCATTCAGTGAGACCATAAGCAATCGAGGAAGACACCGGTATGCGAGTGTCTACATGCGTGTTCACAGCTGTGGACCCTTGCAGGTATGTGCCCGCACCACAGACACACCACACATACCACACCACACACACACACACACACACACACACACACCACAGCTCTGCTATCATTCCATATTATAGCTTCAGGTTGTTTGTTTGTTGGTTCTGGGTTTTCAAGTTTCAATCCTCTGTGTATCCCTGGCTGTCCTGAATGTGCTTAGTAGACAAGGCTGACCTTGAACTCACAGAGATCCACCTGCCTCTGCCTTCTGAGTGTTGGGACTAAAGGTGTGTGCCACCACTGCTCGATCCACAGCTTTATGTTTTTAAATACTACGAATATATCAGGACACAAGTCTATAGTGGGATAGTTTGTGTTGTGTGAGTGTGTGGTAATGCACTATTCCCCTGTGAATGGCCATTAGAGAGTTCTTCTGCATTTACTGTTATAAAAAGGCGGCACAAAGAAAAGCCTCATGTTTTTCTTTCCTGTGTGTTTATAGACTCATGTAGGAGAGTTTGCAGATTGCTTTCTCTGCCAAATGCTGACAGGTACTGCAGTCTTGTCTCCAAGCCAGCTCACCTAGTTCATGGTTTTGTAAAGCACACGTACTAAGCTTTCATTTCCCCTTCTTTTTCCTTTAAAGATATTTTTTCCCTCCATGTTGGAGGAAAGGGTACCTACTGCTCTGGTTTGCACTTCTTTGGCCATAAGTGATGACAATGCTCACTGCATCCATTTCTTCCTCTCTACAAATGACTTGTTTATGTCATTTGTTGTTTTATCTACTGGGGTTTTGTTTTATTTGACTTTAATGGTGTGTGTGTGTGTGTGTGTGTGTGTGTGTGTGTGTGTTAGGCCTGCGTGTGCACGGTGGAGTTGACATACGTGTGCACATAGTTACACTCGCCTTGCATGCGTGTGGATGGAGGTAGAGATGTCCTTCAGGTTCCTCCATCACTTTCCACCCATCTTAGAGACAAGGTTTCCCATGGGAACCGAAACCCACCATTTCAGCTTGATGGGCTGGCCAGCAAGCCTTGGGGCTCTGACCGTCTCCACTCTTCCTTCGCTTCCTTATTCCCTTCGATGCTGTCACTAAGGGCTTCCCGTTTGTCCTGGGAGTCCTAACTCATGCTTGCCCAGCACTGATCCATTGCCCCAGCCCGTTGTGTGTTTTGTTGAGGTTATTTGTTCATTGTTTACAGGATCTTATTCTGTAGCCCAGGCTGACTCGGAACACATGATCCTCCTGTCTCGGCTTCCTGATATCTGGGTCCTGTCCTGCAAGGCGGTTTTGTTTTTGTTTTGTTTTGTGTCTCTTTTGGTGCTGGAGAGCAAACCGACTTTGGGCATGCCTGGCAAGCACTGTGCTGCTGGCATCCTTAGCTCTCCTGCTGGGACAAAATGGAATTGTGAAAGCCGCTAGGGATTGTGAGGATTAATTCCCACCTGTGATATGTTGCAATGCTTTCTCCAACTTTAATTTTGACTCTAGGCTGCATCATAGCTTTTACTTTTGTGTGGCTAAGTCTGTCAGTCTTTCTTCCAGAACTTTACAGTACCTCTCTTTACCTAGCCCCTGTGCCCTTCGCTATGTGAGAAAAGTAAATCTGTTTGGATGTATGTTACCTAAAGTTAGTGCTGACTAAGAAAACATAACTGAAATTATTTGTAATAGTTCTATGTGACACCTTGGATGTGAGTATAACCAAGGTATGAAGAGTGCTAATTTCTGGTTGGTAAAATTACAAATGATCTTCATTTTGCCTTAATATTTTTCTGATATCATAAAAAATGTCTACCCTTCACTGAGAAAACTATCTTGCTATGTTGGTCATAACGCTGACAGCTTATCTTTGGTCCTTTTTTACCACACTGGGTCCTGGAGAGCGGCTTCATGGTATCCCCTCATTTTCACCATGCTGCCTCAGGAGGAGGAAGATGAAAGTTGTGATATTTATTGCATCAACAGGGAAAATATGAAGTTATAATGTAATACTGGAGATTAATTAGAAGCTACTTCACTGTAAGCAAAGTAAGTTGCAGTTATTATGACAATCAAGTGTTCCTGAAGCTTCCTGACTTTTAATCTCCTTTTTGTTCTTACACAGTACCTGAAGGGAGTCTTGAGACTCGCTTTTGCCTTATTGTTAATTTGGGGTTCCATGAGGTATCCACTTTTCCTCCAAATGCTATCGATTGAATGATATGAGATTTTTTATGGTTAAAAATGGTGATCTTGGATCTTCTCTCCTTATCTGTAACTACTGAAAAAGACAAAAAAGACCATTTGTAGAATTAACACAGGCATACAGAATGATTACCAAAGAGAACTGAGCAATGAGGCTGCTTGACTAGCCAAATCAGTGAGTTGTGTACAGGAGAGACCCTGCCTCAATACACATGGAGGAGGGAGATCAAAGGAGACAGCCAGTGTCAACTTCTGACCTCCACATACATGCACAAGCACCAGCACATACAAGTGCGGCCACCTATGAGCACACACATACACACAGAAATATATTTTGCTTATGTATGATGATATTATTGAACCAGATTTCAAGAAGGGATTTCAAAGGCATTCCTATAATCTCATGAACACTCAGGAGAAGTCCTCCTGTCACACGGTGGAAGCTCAATCATGGTCTAACATACTCCTGGGGCTCCAGCACGTGTCAACATATGGCTGACGTGGCAGCAGGGAGCACCCTGTCCCCTCACACTGTTGGAACGGAGGCAGTTGGTTCTTGATTATCCTCATGGAAAGACTTCCCACAGTAATGACCCATGAAGGATCTTCTGTGGAAAGGTAGTGGGTAAGAGATAGACCATGCGGTACTTGCGGTGAATTAGGCCCCAACAGTGCACAATGGAATTCCTGAACATGATTTGTGCATATACGGCTTCTACAAACTAAACTTGCTAGTTTACAGGAATAGATATGTGTCAGAAGTCCCTGTTTAATAATTCAAACTTACAGAATTTCACAGAAGATCATTTTTAGAATTTAGGCCTCAAGAAATTTGGTATAAATCATTTTCAAGATAGGAAACCAGTGTCAGGAGGTAAAGAATTTGGCATCAAGAGCTGGAGAGATGGCTTAGTGGTTAAGAGCACCGGCTTCTCTTCCAGAGGCCCAAGTTCCATTCCCAGCACCCACATGGCGGCCCATAACCATCTGTAACTTTAGTAGGAGGGAGTTCAACATCTTCTGGCCTCTGTCGGCATAAGGCATGAAAGTGGTCCACAGACCCATAAGCAGGCAAACACATATCCATACAAAATAATAAACAAACCAAAACCCAATTTGGCAGTCACTGTGCTAATATCTGAAGACTGAACTAAAGGAGAGAACTGTCCGCCCACTGGGCAACATGACTAACCTAGTTAAGCAGAGTTCCTGAGCTAGGGTGAATTTCTGAGAACTGGCATGTCATAGAGAATGACAGAACAGCTTCCATTCACAATTAGCTGGTGGTTTGCTTTCATGAGGGCAAACTCTTCCAGGTGTCCTGCATTCTCTAAAGCGCTATTTTACAAGACAGATTCTAGATGTTTCTGTGGGAAAGAAGTATCCTTACGTTTCCAGTCAAGCAGCTCCACTCCCGGAAGGTGGTAGATGATAGTCAGACGGTAGAGGTTATATTGGGATAGAGGGTTTTGGTACAGACCTGCAAAGGAAGAATCCAAAATAAGAGGTCAGCCTTCACAACGGTTGTTTGTTACCACCTATTAAGACAGAAGATGCAAGGCTTGTGAACAGGACAAGGATCATTCTTGAAAGATGAGCAGCTGGACCTGGTGTCCAGCCCACAGTATCATCACGTGGTTCCTTAGAGCCCCACCCATTTCCCTCTTGGTTGTTTTCATTCGTTCAGAGTTTCCTGTTTGCCACTGCCCATCAGACACAGTGCTAGCTTGGCTCAGATCTGGCACAAAAGAGGAAACTTTGATTGTCCATAGGTAAGTTTGACAAAGAAGAACTCGATGCTAGCTCTATGTAAGTCTTGAGGATGCTTTTCATGAAATGCCACTGGAATTGTTCTGGTCTCTGGAGTAATGTGTGGGGGCTGGGCAGAGACAGGCAGTGCCACAGTACACTGGCCAACAGTTTTCTCCCTAAACCTCACTGTTGCTGTGCTCAGGGACGCATAGACCAGCAGCACTGGGAGGCCTCAGTAGGAGCAGAGCTACACAGGAGTGGATGCTCATCTCATCTTGCTTCTGATGGCAGGACTCGTGGGGCTAAGGGATGGGCAATGAACCTGATTCTGCACCACAGGGCTGGGGAGGGAGCAGTGGTGGGAACAGATCCTAGACAGTTGTGGGAGGAAGAGGTGGTGGAAACAGATCCTGGGCAGTGGTGGGAAGAAGAGGTGGTGGGAACATTTCCTGGACAGTGCTAGGGAGGGAGGGGTGGTGGGAACAGTTCAGATCCTGTACAGTGGTGGGAGGAAGAGGTGGTGGGAACAGGTCCTGGGCAGTGGAGGGGAGGGAGAGGTGGTGGGGACAAATCCTGGGCAGTGGTGGGAGGGAGAGGTGGTGGGAACAGGTCCAGGGCAGTGGTAGGGAGGGAGAGGTGGTGGGAACAGGTCCTGGACAGTGCTAGGGAGGGAGGGGTGGTGGGAACAGCTCAGATCCTGTACAGTGGTGGGAGGAAGAGGTGATGGGAACAGATCCTGGGTAGTGGTGGGAGGAAGAGGTGGTGGGAACAGATCCTGGGTAGTGGTGGGAGGGAGAGATGGTGGGAACAGGTCCGGGGCAGTGGTGGGTGGAAGAGGTGGTGGGAACAGATCCTGGGCAGTGGTGGGAGGGAGAGATGGTGGGAACAGGTTCTGGGCAATGCTGGGGAGAAAGCGGTGGTGGGAACAGCTCAGAAGATCATGGTGCTTCTGACGTAATCAACCCTAAAAAACCAACATGGCGGGACTTTAAAAAATGCTTTAACTAGAAATTTTGAGTGTTTTATTTTCTGGTGACATATTTCATCTGTTCATTCTTCCATAATATTAAATGAGACTATTTAGACACATTGTGAAATGAAGTTTTTGTGACTTCCACTGTGGCATCTTCAGACTGCTTCTGAAAAACACATAAAGCAGGGAACCACTAGATGGCAGTAGAGCAAAGAGCTCCGGCTTCCGCACAGCTGTGGACGCCAAGATGTGGCTTCCACACTCACTCACTCACTCACTTGCTAAATTTAAGAGCACTGCTCTTAGACTATTCATAAAACAAGGAGGGTTTTAACAAATGGATGATTATATCAAGCATCAGAGCCCATAAGAGATGATTAACATTTAGGATGCATAGCTTGCAACGTAAAGAAGACCAGAGAGGTACGTTTGAAAAACAACAAATGCACTAAAAACTGAAGATAAACAATACCTGGATGTATTCTCTGTCAGTAAAAGACATTGAGATGTGTGTTGTATCAACACAAGCTTTTCTGCCTAGTCAAATTCTTACATGAGCTTTAAAGGGAGCTGAAGTGAGCCAGGGCAAAGACATGCCACACGACGGATACACTTAACTGAACAAGGGAAGATGTGGGAGGATGTAGAGTGAGTGGCCAAACAGCTAAGTATTGGGAGAAGTGAGGGAAAATTCAAGGAAAAATGGCTTAAAGTTTGCTCTTAAAGGGATGTAAAGTGGACCTGCGTGGGTGAGCATGAAGCCAGTCTGACAGAACAGATGTGAAAAGGCACACAGAGACCACCAACTAGCCTGGACTGAGGTCCCAGGGCCCCTCCTTCTCTGCTCCCCAGCGCTGGAATCACAAGCATGGACCACCATTGCGCACAGTTTTCCATGGTTGCTAGGGAAAGGATGTAAGTCCTCTCGTGCTTGTGAGAGGAGCACTTGACTGAGCTGCTTCTAACTGCATCTGAATAAAGCCCCAGCCGTCAGAGCAAAGCCACTAGATAGAGAAGCCCATGGCGCTCCCTGCTCATCCCATCCTAAGATAGAACCCCTCGGGCAGAAAGGTGGCAAACCTAACAGTCACCTTAGCCTCTGAGGACATTTCCTGAGAAAAACAAGTTGCACTGAATAATCTGGAAGACATTTCACAGTTATTCTTCGCTTTTTTTTCTAGCTCTTGCATTTTAGAAGGAAGCAATCTTGCTTTTAGTTCCCTTCATCCCCACCTCCCACATCTATGCTGGTACGTATTAAACATTCTGGATTTATGCATTTTGGATGACTGGCCCTAAAATTACCATAAATTAAGTTTCTGAGATATGAAATCAGTTTCCTGTGTCTAAGTGTTCTGAAAGCCTTGTGTGATGTATGGGCGGGCACATTCCTGCAGCGGCTATGAAGCGAAATTGCTTACACTTTCGCTTTCAATAGGTTAATACTATTTAATCCACCTTTCCCTCTAGGCTACTTACGAAGCACACCTCAGTGGCGCCAGCACTGTCTTGCTTATCTTAATTTGGAAGTCGGAGTCTAAGCAATTTACATTTACCCAATAATATATCAAAATGTCTCCGCCACCTTACTGCACCAACTTGAGTTAGATGAGTCACACGTGCGGAGATCCTTAATGAAAGATGACAGGAAGACGCAGAGTGACAGAGTCATCTAAATAATTGGCTCCCATTGATTAAAAAAAAACCAAACCAACAACTTCTAAAGCAGAACTTAAAAGTCATCATGGAAACAGACCCAAATAGTCTTGTCTTTTTGGTTGTGAGCCTTGGCCTTTAACAGCTGAGTCATCTATCCAGCCCAAAAGATCCAAATATTCTTAAAATATTTTAGTAAAATAATAATAATAATAATATGAACTGGGCTTCTAGCAGGGTGGCTACAGTGCTTCCCTAGTGTGATGCTCTGAGTTCAATCCTCAGCACCACGTAAAGCGAGGTGTAGTGATATCCACCTGTAACCACAGGGGCAATCACAAGTTCAAGGTCATCCTTGGCTACTTTTGTAGTTAGATATCAACCTAGGCTACACATGAGACCCTTTTCTTTTTCCCAAAGGGGAATAAAGCTGATGTAATCAACAGAGAAACAGCATATCTGTTTTAATAGATGAGGATAGTCATATGTGGGAATTAAAAACTCATTCAGAACAGCACCCCGCAGAAGGAAGCTCAACTTGCTAACCATGATTAGACAGCTAGGTTTTGAGGTCACATAAAGCTGGACCTCCATCTCTCCTGGTAGCGCTATCTGTTTCTAACCAAATTTGTGAGCTACCATTCCACACACTAAGTAAGGCATCATCATTGATTTAACAGGGAAACTGGGCTAGAGCAGAGATGGAAAGAGGGAGAACATAACATTCTCTTCCTCACGTAAGTAGCTGGGGATGACCTAGGAGTTCTGTTTGCTTCATAGATTGTCTTGTTGGAAAGAGGTTGCCCACCACCCTCAAGGGCATTACAGACAGACTCAGAGGAAGAGGCCTTGAGGTCCAGCATCCTTCATCAACAGCTGAGAAGAGAATGCTGGAGGGTAGGACCTGTGCAGACACAGAGCCCCTCCAACAAGGTTGGTCCCTGAAGCTCCATTAAAAAGGCCATGCCTATTATGAAATGCAAATTGCTAAGTGGATTTAGTGTGATGTGTGCTTCCCCTCTGTATGCTGTGAATATGCCCTACTACCATTGGTTATTAAAAGAAGCTGCTTTGGCCTACAGCAGGGCAGAATATAGCCAGGCTGAAAGAGATAGAGAGAGAGGGTATTTAGAGAGAGTCAGCAGAGTCAGAGAGATGCCATGTAGCCACCAAAGGAGACAGACACCCCGGGAACCATACCAGTAAACCATGAACCTCGTGGTAAAATAAAAAATAACAGAAATGGGTTAATTCAAGATGTAAGTTAGTTAATAAGAATCCTGAGCAATAGGCCCAGCAGAGTCGTAATTAATATAGTTTCTGTGTGATTATTTAGGGTCTGGGTGGCTGGGAATGAACAAGCAGCCTCTGTCTACATTAGTGGAGTGTAGAGAATCTGAGGGAGAAGAGTAAAGAATAAGGCAAGGCAATGGATTAAGAGCCTTATTGATATTTTGCATTTAGTGTTGTGTGCTGGTTAGTTTTATGACAACCTGACAGCAGCTAGCACTACCTGAAAGCAGGAAACCTCAATTGAGAAAAATACCTCCATCAGATCAGGAGGTAGGAAAGCCTGTAGAACATTTTCTTAATTAGTGATTGTGTATAGGCCATTCCTGGGCTGGTGGTCCTGGGTTCTATAAGAAAGCAGGTTGAACAAGCCATGTGGAGCAAGCCAGCAAGCAGCACCCCTCCATGGCCTCTGTACCAAATCCGGCCTCCAGGCTCCTGCCCTGTTTGAGTTCCTATCCTGACTTCCTTAAGTGATGGACTGTGAAGTGTAAGCCAAATAAAGCCTTTCCTCCCCAGCTTGCTTTTGGTCACAATGTTTCATCAAAGAGCAGGCTGAGGAAGGGGGGAAGACTCGTCCCTGGTACACTGGACTGGGACACATGAGGATTCCCTTTTGCAGAGTTTGGAGGGCAGAAGAGAAAGATGGAACTGCACAGGGAGGGCGTGGAAAGGTAGACCTCCTGGAGAGTGGAGGTGGGGCCCTGCCGGGCCTGGAAGACAGGAATTCCAGGCACCAGACCTCACACTCTGCTTCTGGCTGCAGGCCTCCCTGAAGCTCCCAGCCCTCCGTCTTCTGGGCAATTGTTGGCAATTTTTCTCATAAATGCCAGAGGAGGGTGCAGTGTTGAAATGGGTTGGAACCTTATCCCCAGGCTGTTTTCTCACCCTCGGAAGAACTTATGATTGAAGTGGAAGCACTTTAGATTTTTAGATGGTTTTCTTACTTGAAAAGAGAAAAATTGCAACATTTGAAATGCATAGTTTTCTCGTTTTAATGAGCCGAGTCTATTCTAAGATGTTAACGGGGCTACTGAGAAGCTACTGTGAGGACATCAGTACACAGATGTTGGCAGTCTGCTGAGTGCACACTGTTTCCTCATGGACTGTCTGCAACCAGAGTAGGGCGTGGGACCACAAGCTACCAAGTATTTCCAGTCAGTTCAAGGAAATGACCCATGGCAAGTTTCTCAGGTGGGACATGTGACTGTAACCTGAAGGATATCATCAGGGTTTTAAGCAGAGGTGATTTTCACTGTCTTGACAGGATGTTTTATTATCAGACCGGCCTCTAAAGAATGTGGGTATTTCATCCCTAACTCAAGCCTGACATGTGTGCACATATGTACCCTTGACACCAGGACCTGGGTTATTAGGTTCATTCAGCTCTGAACCAGGCATCCTGGGTCGCACAGCCCTGTTCCCTATGAAGGCCAGGGGTACATACTGTCCTCTGGATGTTGTTTTATAGCACAGCCTTACTTAAGCAGTTAATTTTACATGCAGCAAATTGTACAAATAGCTCCTTCAAGAACCTAGTCTACAAGCTATATAATTGTAAACCCAACAGAAGCCCCAATCAGGTTTTTCTTCAACTTTGGGATCTGTTAATAAATGCAGAATCAGATGGTGAATGAGTGATTCCCTACACATCAAATGAATAAATTATAAACATTAGATGAATGAATCAATAAATGATCAATAAAACAAGGCATGGATTTGTTTCTACACTTGTAATGTAGTAAGTCTCTGAGCCTTGTATCTTCACCACTGAGGAGGGAATAATTCCAACCTCATCATAGCATTGCTGTGAAATTGAAATAGCATTGTAAGAAAACAGTTTCTTAACAGGAAGGGCATCAGAAATATTACTATGTGATTATTGTTTAAAGCAGCAGTTCTATTGAATCCATCTCCCACTGAGCATAATTTCTAAGCAACTTCTTAATTATTTTATTTATATCCTACACATGCAATAATTTGGTTTTCCTGTCTCAAAGTAACATTGACAACAAGAAGTTTTTCTTAAGAATTGCTTTGGAGAATTAGCTCAGTGTGTGAAGAGATTCTGGGTGATAGCTAAGAGCCTGTTTTGTAGAAATACAATGATAATGAGAGATCTGGGTCTAGCATACACCTTTAATTGTGGAAACATTTGCTTGATGTGGGAGGGTTAGATAAGTAGGCAGACCAATCCAAGACTCTGACGGAATATCAGAGTTTGGGAAAAAATCCTAACGGCAGGTGATCTCAGTACATCTCTAGAGCAATTCCTGACTCGCCAAGCACTCTTGTGGTTTTGTGATTTTTCACTATTTGCGTTTTTAAAAGTCTACTTTAGGCCCCTGAGTCATTTCTCCTTCAGCGCACGAGAGTTTTCTGATAACAGCGAAAGGCTACGGAACCTTTAGTTCTGCTATGCGTTGACCAGAGCCATCACCGTCTACACTAGGTTATACAATTCTGAAAGATGAGGAAGAGAACACGCCTGTGTCTTCACAAGCAGAGGCCTCCAAGCTCAGGTCTGCAAACCTCATCGGTCACGAGGCTTTCCACCTGTACACCCGGAATCATCTGCCTTGTCTTGTAGCTGTGTGCATGTTTACAAACCCTCCAAGACCACAGCACATTGAAAGGCGAGCTTCACCGATAGGTTTTGCTCTGTTCCTACGTAGATACAGCTTCCACTTCAGCAGTCAGTGTCTGGCTGGGCACCACTCAGTAGAAGTGATCAAAGGCTGCTTCTCAAATATGTGAAAGTGCCAATGTTTTTTTGTTAATTTACTTTATTCAATAGACCTCATGCCGCATACATTTACCTGCTTAACACACACAATTCATGCATAGTCAGTAATGCCCCGATCTGAACCACTTGTCGGCACAATCAATTTTAAAACATTTCTCACCCCAGAGAAACACCATACCCCTTCCGTTTCACCCATCACCCCGAATTCCCTCCCCTCTCAGCCCCGAGACACAAACCCCCGTAGCCTCTGCCTGTGCAGATGTGCCCGATAGAGACCACTCCTATAATTGGAATGATGCTGCTGACTTTTGAGATCAAACCGAGACTAGGCTTGGACACACACATTGCCGTCTGCTACTTCGGTCGTTTTCATCTCTCACGACCCTACTGTTCTACTAATGATTACTTTCTATCTGTTGCTCATGTGATAAAAGAAGAGCAAAATCTCGTCACACTCTAGAGAATGGGTTAAGCCTTCCAACTGCAAGCCTGCTTCTCTCGGCTGGTTTTCGGAACGGAAACCCAGCATCGTGTGCTATCACCGCCTTGACTTAAGGACATAGAGAAGTGCGTACTTAGGGTCTTCAGGTTCTGCATTCCCTTCAGCTCCTTCACCGTAGCCTCAGTGTTTGTTAGCTCGTTGTGGTGCAGCAGGAGAATATGCAAGGAAGGCAGGTTATGCAGGCCTAAAAACAAAAGGGTTTTAGATCAATTCTGCTTTTTACATTGACAAATATAAATAAGAATCTCTTCATAGTAATTAGATGTCATAACTAAGCATGAGAATGCATTAGAGCTGGTTAAAACAAAGTGAACGCCTATCGATGATATCCTGAGTTATGATTAAGTGTGCAATAATAACACCTGACTGGGATGTGGGTTATTGCGTCATTTCTTGCTACTGTTGCTGCGTCAGCCATTTTTCTATGGCAATGATTTTGATGGTTTGAATATCATGTGTGAGTTATATTTGTCCTCTTTGATTTTGCCATGTGTGTGCCAGTATATGTAAGCCAGCGTTACTTCATATTATAATGCAAATCAAAGTCATTCAATGCACTCTTTTCAAATTGCTTAGCTGGTTGTAGAATGGGAAACCATATATTCATTTTTGTTCTCCTGAATGGCACATTCGAAATCATTTGTAACATAAATGAAAGTGGGATGAATCTGTGTGATAATCAAAGTATGGTTAAATTGGAACAGTTTCTTCCTTAGCAGTATAGGGGCTTATCATGGGAGGGTTAGAATGTTTGACATTCTGGTTTTATGATTATTTCATAGCCAAAGGCTTGCTCCAGTAACCCATCATGTCTCCGGAAAATGGCCTGTCATACACTTTTATACCTGGCTTGAAGTTGTCAGCATAGAGACTGTTATAAAATTAAGACAGTGGAAACAGGAACTTGGCTGATAAAATTCCAGGCAATAAAATATTTTAAGACAAAGTACAGTTTTTATATTTATTCCTAGTCCTAAATGTTGCTATACTTAGGTTCCTCCGTAGCTAGTGTGTATCTTACTGTGCTGCAGAATGGTACTACTATAAAAAATATTCCTCTTAAGTTTTGAATAAGACATATAATGTTGAACTAAAAAAGTAGCCTAACAAATTTTTAAAAAATTAAATGTAGATCATTTAAAATAGATATCACATAATTTTAGTAGACATGATAAGAGATTTTTGTATTTTGTTAGCAATCATTACAGTTAAAAGTTATTATTTAATTAAAAATTATTCAATCAAGAAAGTTTTGAGACATACCTTCTATCTCAAATATTGCATTGTTGTTTAGATACAGTTCTGTCAGACGATAGTTTCTAGTCAAAAATCCTATCCCATGTAGCTGAAAATGAAAAACTATATATATTATATTTATAATCGTAAGACACCATCAGTGTGGCTTATAACAACCACTACTACTGTGGTCCTTTTGGACTGGGCTCCAAGTTGTACCTGAACTCTTTTTTTGTCATGGCTGTGTGAAAGAAAAGATGTTTTTAAGCAACTTAACAACAGAGCTTTCTGAGCATAGCTGGGCCAAACTGTCCCCTGGCCTTCAGAGCCGCTGTCTCCTGGTACATTACATTTCCCATCACGGGCCAGAATCAGATCCAGGTCAGCACAACATACCAAACCATGCGACATTGCACTGACACAATTCTAGAGATTTTCTAAAGTCGCTCTCTGACCTTCCTGCATCCCCCAACTATTTTATCACTGCATTTGGCCGTCTTTCATGTTTCTCTGGACATCTCTCTGATCCAGACCTTGTTAGTAATGCTCTGATGCTGCGTTTTCTTCTTGCAGTGCTCTGGGGCATGTCTCTTCTGCTGCTCCAATATCCTTTGCACCCACGGAAGCAAAGGCCTCGCACCTCCATACAGGACGCAGCTCTGCTAAGGAGGGTTGGTGTTGGCAGCTCTGCATGCCACAGCCGCAGCCAGGGCACCAGGCACAGCGTGGCCCTCCTCCTTCCCTTCTTTTGTTCTTGGTTGTTTTCTCCTAGGCTTTATTTCTATGCACACGAGTGCGTGTGTGGAGGAGAGAGGGCAACTGCAGAAGCTGCTGCTCTCCTTCCACAATGTTGGTCCTGGGAATTGAGCTCAGGCCATCAGGCTTGGTGACAGGAGCCTTTACCCTCTGAGCTACCTCGCTGGCCCCAACTCTATAATCTCATCTGATATGCTGAGACACAGTAGGGCACAGGACAGGGGAAGACACAGTCTAAGAGTGGCAGATAATTAAATTGAAGAGCGTTTGCCCTACTGCTCCATGTAGGACTATGATATATATATGATATATACATATACATACATACACACACACACACACACACACACACACACACACACACACACACACATATATATATATATATATATATATATATATATATATATATATATAGGGAGATGTAGCTAGGGGGAGGGGTCTCCTGAAATAATTACTGACCAGGTTTTACATGATTTTTAAATTCATGAGTATAAACTTATTTTTCTAAAGCTAGAACCTGTTATAGTTCGTGAGACAGACCTGTTTGACCATTGGATGAAAAGCCAGTTATATGGATGCCAACCCCACTGTCTCGGAGCGCTTACTGAAAGTCTGTGTCCCTCTCCTAGTTCAGAAAAGCCATTTTAGGTTGCATCTGAAGGATGAAGGCTGCTTTGACAAATTATCTTCAACTTCTTCTATTAGTAGCGCTCACAATTTATGATGCCAAAATAGACACATCCATGGCTCCTCGTTTCCAAATCATGAGAGCACTCGCTCAGCACAGCTAGCGCTAATGCTGCCACAGTGTCATAAATGCCAGAGAGAAGCATGACTTCACAAGGTAGGAAGAACCATGCCAAGTAGAGAAGGAAGTCTCCCTTGACTTCCTGTCCCTTTGTGCTTTCTCTCCTGGCTTCCGGCAGGAGTCCACTGCCTTCTGTCCTGTCCCTTCACAGTGGTCTGCTCTAAGAATAACCACCAGCATGGGAAACTCAGCAGAGCTAACTAGGATGGTTTCCAGTCACTTGCCCGATACACATTTACAACCCTTGCTGAAGAGTTGCTTGCATTATTATTTCTTGCATTATTAATTCATACAAGAAGAATGTGTCGATCCTGACAGTGTCACCTCAGCTGTAGAATCCTAGTTTTCCAGAATATTCACATTTATGGGTCATGATTATTGGGATATAAAGATTCTCCTGTGTGTTGAAGTAAGGGGGAATGGAAAGAAACAAGGCCAGAAGAGGGTGACTCTGGGAAGCCATTCAGTTACACGGACCAGGAGAGTGTTATCATCCAACTTAATGTCAGAAAGAAAATATCCAGCTCAAAATATCCTGTGTATTTGGCAGGAGACAAGTTATGAGGGCATTACTGTAATTCAGGAGAACATATACAATCCCAAAGTAAACTAATAGGGATGGAAGAAAATGAAATGGTTCCAAGGTAAGATTCACATAATTTAAATGATATGGAAACTTAGCAGGTTGTTAAAGCCAGAAACAGAATGAGAAGATTATGATACTCAAGACAGTATTAAAATAAAACTGTAATACAGCTACCCATTATAAACCTATACTTTTCTTTCTAAAGAAGATCTTATGGCAGTAAAATTTATATTTAGTGCAACATTCACAATCATAGACCTTAATTCAAAGCTTGGAATTATGTGTGTGTGTGTGTGTGTGTGTGTGTGTGTGTGTATTACATTACAGCAAGTAATTTCCTTTGTTTATTCAACCATCATTATTAATTCATATGAGAGAGCTCTTGTATGTAAAGTACTTCGGTGTGGAAAGTCCTTCTATGTGTTACTTTTATTGGTTACTGAATAAATCTGTTTCGGCCAGTAGCTTAGCAGAATAGAGCTAGGCAGGAAAACTAAACTGAATGCTGGGAGAAAGAAGGCAGGTCAGTGAGAAACCATGTAGTCACTGGGGCAGACTCCTGTGCTGAATCCCACCAAAATCTGGGCACGACCTCGTGGTAATGCACAGATTAATAGAGATGTGTTAGTAAGCCATTGGACAAACAGTACTGCAATTAATACAGATTTCTGTGTGATCATTTCAGGAGTTTGAATAACCTGGAAACAAGTGAGCAGCCTCTCGCCAACAGTATTTTTGGAAGCCGTTGGAGAAAATGAAGACCAGTATGAATCAAAAAAATGAAGCAAACACACTCTAGAACACTGGTTCTAGAGCCAGGGTGCTGCATCTTTGCTACTGCCGGTCATTCAGACAGATAATTCTAGGCTTGTTCTGGCATGGGGCCACCTGGACACAGAAGCACATATAGTAGCATTCCCAGCACATAACTAGTAGATGCCAATAGCACACACTTAGCAATGTGATAATAAAACCTCTCTAAAACAACGTCAAAGATCTCAAGTGGGGGAAATAAACAGCTTAGAGTTGAGGACTGATGACGTAGGGGCACGGAGATGAAAGAAAGAGGACATGGGGCTGGAGAGGTGGTTCCATAGTAGTTGAGAGCACTAAGTGCTCTGGCACAGGATCTGGGTTTGGTTCCCAGCACCGACGCAGTGGCTCACAACTGCTTGTAAATCCAGTTCCATAGGATCTGATGCCCTCTTCAGAAACTTGCAAGTTGATGTACACCTGTGGTGTGTACACACGCACTCAGGCACAGACATAAACTTAACTACACAGATCTTTCAAAAGAGGACACTCCTTGTTTATTACAGGTGAGGCATTAGGCTAGATGTGTTTTTACAGATATTTCCTAGTGTGATCCTTAAGAAAGGATCATTTTGTTTATTTTACGTTATTTATTTTTTCTATCATCTACCCAGGAGGAAACTAAAGATGAGAAAAACTGAACAACTTCTGAAGGTACAGAGCATGTATATAGCAAAGTCAAGATTCGAATCTTAAGCTTGACTGATGCCGCAGCCAAACACTGGCAAGTTGTCAAGCTCTTTAACTTGGGGTAGCTCTGTATAATGACCTGTAAGTCATTCCTTTGAAATCAGGCTGAGTCATGAAACATATTCTATAAATTATTTCTTACATTTTAGCCATCACCTCCCCAAATGTCTAAATGTGTCTCAAAATACCTGACCTGAATATAAAGAAAAATGAAAACGTGGAATCCTCTCCTTCATGTATGTATAACAATGTAGAGTCTGGCCACAAGACTCTTGACTTGTCAGGCAATCTCAAAAACTCTTAGTAGATCAGATTGAGGGATGGACCTCAATATGATACGTCTTTGATGAACTCACAACAGCTCCCGATGTGAAAAGCTCAAAGTTCATTGGCAAAGATAAACGACTCCATGCTCTTACCACTTCCTACACATTAATAAAAGTCCTAGACTAAAAGGTTCTCTTCCTAGGAGAGGCAGGAATGAAGTTATCTTTAGATGCTGATGACCGGATCATAAATGGAGAAGACCACTCCTAGCAAAACATTGCTAAAATGGTCGAGTAAGTACATGTGCAAAGGTGTCATATTGAAAACCAGTATTATGTATAGTTAATATATACTGATAAAATATTCATAAAGCCCATTATGACTGATCAATTGATATAAATAAAGTTATAAGACAAAAAATAAGCATACACACTTAGCTGCACTTCTAGATGCTAATAAGGCTGGGGATGTGGTTCAGCAGTAGAATATTTGCCTGGCAACCCCCAGCACTACAGGAAAATAGGATAAAAACCAACATCTAGGTAACAATAAGAAGTTATTGTTAACTCCCAGAGGAAGATTAAGAAAATAATAGTACCCATAGTAGTTATAACAATAAAAATATTTATATGTTAGTTTAATCAAAGAGGCAAAATAACCTTTTTACTGGAAACTGTAGAAAACACAAATAAGTAGAAAGGCATCCCTTGTCCATGACTTAGAATTAACCATGCCACCCAAAGCACTGCAATTTCTATCAATTTCCCCAATGACACTTTTTAAAAAGAGAGAAAAATAGCCTTAAATTCACATGTACCCACAAAAGGCCCCAAATAACCAAAATTCCTTGAACAAACACAATAAAGCTGGGCCCATTCTACTCCCTGATTCTAAAACAGCACAGCGGGCAACTGCCACCAACATAAAATGAGACACTCTGAACAATAAAGGCACTCCAGAAGCAGACACACATATTTATGTCAATTGATATTTAAAAATTAAATTTTATTTTATGTGTATGGGTTTCTGCCTGCGTGTATGCCTGTACACCACCTGCCTACAGTGCCCTAGAGTCCAAAAGATCCCCTAGACCTGGAGTTACAGACGGCTGTGAGCCACCATGTGGGTGTTGAGAATCTGACTCTGGCCCTCCGGAAGAGAAGCCTCTGCTCCTAACTGCTGAGCCCTCTCTCCAGCTTCCCAGATGATTATTGAGATGGTACCAAGAACATACATGGACAAAAGGTTTTCACCTCCATCAATGTTTTTGGGAAAACTGGTTGCTCACACGTGAAAGAATGAGACAAGATCCCTCATCTCAAACTGTATGCAAAATATTATCTCATGATAAACTAAAGACTTAGAAGATCTGAAGTTATCTATAAGAGTAAGACTATAAGAAAACACAGAAAAAGCCACATACATTGAGTGATCCGGCCATGAATTTTTGGTATAATCCTCTAAGCACAAGTAATAGGCGGAGAAATAGACAACCAAAGAAATAAGAACAACTTGAAGAAACAGCCCACAGAGTCAAAGAAAAAAGAGTAACAGGTAAAACATATTAGAAACCAGAAAAGGAAAACCAAACAAAGAAAAACTACAGCAGGTAAACAACTGGATTGAAAGTGGGTCAAGGAGAGTGGTTCTGGGGGCGCCAAGGTCAGCGGAGCTCTGCAGGAGTCGCTCTTAGGTGATTCTCCTCCACTGCCCTGCGTTCTGGGGAGGCAGCGGCTCAGACCATCCAGGATTGGGTGTGGGTGTGGTGGGCGCCAAGAACAAGAACCGCTATTGGCTGAGCATAACTACATGGCCGCGGAAGAGGAGTGCTGCCTTGCCAGTGATAGGCAGGACCCAGCTGTTTGAGGCCATCAAGGCGGCCACCACTCCTAGTATCTCCTCAGTCTACCTCTGCATAGACAGATCCACTGCAGACCGGCTCCGCCGTCTCAGATTTCTTGAGAAATCAGCCTAACCCAGAGCTATCACCCTTCAAGTTTATAGACAGTAGATTACTCTGTTCTTGCCTGGTCCTGGAGCTGAAAAAAAGATGTCATTTACCTAACAGTGTGCACAGCTGGACCAGAGTCTCATTAATAAAATCACACACAGTAGGTATTTGACGGAGAAAAATGGACAAAGGACCTGGCCAGATGTTTATGAAAAATGAACCATAAACATGGCTAACAGGTACATATGCAAATATTCTCTCGTAGCCAGGCCACCACCGGTGGCACATGCCTTCAATCCCAACACTCGGGAGGCAGAGGTAGGCGGGATCTCTGTGAGTTCAAGGCCAGCCTGGTCTACAAGAGCTAGTTACAGGACAAAACCAAACGAAACCAAACCAAAACAAAAGCTCTCATGATTAAACTTTAGGGAAATACCAACTAAAACCACACAATTATGTCACCTTGTATGTCAGAATGGCTTTTTATGAAGAAAAGATGAATGATAAATATTCCTAAGGATATGCAGAAGACGGAAAAAGGGGTTCTTGTGCACTGGTGGGAAAATAGATTAGTAATTGCCATGGAAAATGGTACAGACTTTCCTTAATGAACTAGAATAAAACTACTGCATCCTCCGGACACAAACACCACTGCTTAATGACTGAGCTACTGCCGGCAATAGGAACGAAGAATCTATAGACTTCTACAGGGAAAAGTCAGGGTCTGAGGCAATGCGTGCCTGAGGATGAGGGCAGGTACTTTTTCCTACACACTAAAGGAAGAGTCTAGCGTGATGGAGACTCGCTAGCAGGGGGAAGCTGCTGTTTATTCCACGCTGAAGGAGGAGGCAGCATAGCGAATCTGGGGTATCTGTAGATCCGCAGTCACAGGCTGAACTTGGGCAGGTGGAGGAAGCTGTGGGGCTCCTTTCTGCACACTGTCAACATCCTAACTCTAACCAGGGAAGACCTTGACATTCCCCCGTGCCTTACCTGGGGAAAGTCTTTGCCATTCCCTTGGTCAGAGGCACTAGGTTCCTTGACATGGTACTGTGTCAATAATGCACGTTCACTCCGGACACACCCCATTCCATAAGGTATTTCCAAGGGAGTCTAACGCTGTGGTGAGAGCCACACCCTGTATCTACTGCAGGATTACTCACAATAGCCCAGATATGAAATCAAACTACCAGTGATGGGTGGACAAAGGATGGGATACCAGTCAGTCTTTGAAAGGAAAGGAAACCTGTTTGACAACATGAAGGAGCCTGGAAGCCTTTATTCTAGGTAAAGCAAGCCCGGTGCAGAGAGGCAAGTGTCCCGTGATCATGCGTTTGTGTAGGCAATTCACACAAGTCAAGTTGGCGAAGCAGAAAAAAGAGAGATGGCTAAGCAGAGACTGAGGAAGGAGGGAATCTGGGCTTAGTGATAAAAGGTTACTATGTTTCAGATAGAACAGACTCAATGGGCAACCACAGTGCACGCTATATTTCATAATAATAGCTTTAAATGCTTCACATTAAAATGACAGGTGACTAAGATGATGACTACATTAAATGAACATGATTTAATGATGTGGTATACATATATTAAACTATCACATATTATTCCAGAGCTGATAGTGAATGTATAGAGAACTAAGTAAACATTCTATTCAGTGTGTTTCCAGTCTTGCAGTAGGCACCTAACTGTCTTGCCACACAGGGACTGGAGAGTTATTCTACAGAAGAGAACAGACCAGAGCAGACCAGAGCAGAGCAGACCAGAGAAGACCGAAGCAGATCAGATTGAAATGGAATGGAACAGAAAGCAAAATCATGGATTGGAACACAGCAGGGCAGAGAGTTCCTAGGAAGTTAAACAAGAGACACCAGGCAGAGCTGAAGGCAGGAAATTCTGAGCCTGAGGATTATGCTCCTTGAGTCCCTACAAGATGTAGCTCATTTTCTCCTGCTTGAATTTCAAAACCCTGATGCTCTAAGTCTTTCCCTTGGGGCAGAGGATTGCCAAAGGCTTTCCTGAGGACTCTGACCCGTGCGTCATAATACCAGGGTTCCCTTAAATTTTGTCCTGCAGACAACCGTACAGTGAGGTTTGCATTGACAAGTCACAATCACACGTATTTACACATCCAATCAGCATTTAGACTTTACCATTTTTCTTTATTTGGAACACAGTCTTACTATACAGCTCTGGTTAGCCTGGAACTTGTTATGCGGATCTCATATGTATGGAAATTCACCTGCCTCCCTATCTCCCTCTGCCTTCTGGCTGCTAGGATTAAAGGTCAGCGCTGCTATGCCCAGCTAGATTTTCATCTTACGTATGTTTTAATCTTTTTGTGTATGTGTGTGAGAGTGTGTGCACATATTTATATGCACCTTGGGCATGCAGATGCCCAATAGAGGCCACAAGAGGACGCTGGATGCTTTGTACCTGGAATTGCAGGCAATTGTCAGTCATGAGATGCGGGTGCTTGTTTGGAACTGAGCATGGATTCCCTGCCAGAGCAGTGAGTGTTCTTAAGCACTGGGCCATCTCTCCAGCCTTTAGGCTTTCATCTTCAACACAGTTTGTAAAGTTCTGACATAAGATAGATATCAAAAGAAATACACGGAAATAAGACTAACTTAGAGAAAATAAATATATTATTAACATCAGCAGCAGCAACTCCACCATCGTTATCATGCTTGAAGATATTAGAGGGGATGTTTGCCTTTGAAACAAAGAAATCATAAAATAGTATCTCCATAAGGCTAAGATGCCTGGAGGATTAAGGCACTTGCTGCCAAGCCTGACACAGTGGAAGGAGAGATACAATTCTTGCAAGGAATCCTCTGACCTCCACACGAAGCATGGTACAGGTGTGCCTTCTCTACCCCCAATCGCCTCACACCTTTTTAGGACAAATCTATGTAAAAGCTGAAAAATGGTGTCAAGGACATGGAAGAGCTGGATTTGTGCTACACCGTGTTGGGAATGTCAGAAGTGTGACAGCTATGGAGGGCGTTCCTGCAGTCTGATCAGCGACCTCACTTCTGTATGTATCCAAAAGAGTGAAATCAGGGTCCCAAAGAGTTATCCTGCACCCCACATTTACAGCTGCTTGATTGAAAATAGCCTAGGGGTGAAAAGCAGCTCAAATGCTCACTGACAGAGAAAGGGATTACAGAAAATCAGCAGTTTACATAAAATGGAACATTAGTCTTTGAATATGCAGAAATCCTCCAGTGTGGCATGTCTGAACTTGGAAGAGACCATGCTAAGTGAAAGAAGGCAATCCAGAAAAGATGGAGGTAGTAAAATTTTACTCATGAAGTTTCTAAAATAGCCAGTCTCCTAGAAGCAGAAAGTAAAGATTGATAATTGTGGCCTGGAGGAAGGGAAATAGGAATGTCACTGATTAGTCTGCATAAGTTAGAGCTGGAAGGAAATTCCAGAACTCTGTTAGGAAATACGGTTCTTGTA